GATTTATTACTTGCAATTTATTATTTATATTAATAATTTTTTTTTTTTCCAATTAATTATTATTATATTAATTTTCTTAAATTAAAATTTAAAAAAAAAAGAAATTGAAAATAATTAATTTAATTTTTATAATTTTTATTACTCTTTAGTTTTTATATTTCTTTTTTATTATTATTATTATTATTATTAATACTGTCAGTTATTACTTTGAATATTAGAGAGGAAAAAAAAATAATAAAGCACCTTCCTTAGTTAGGTAGGTTTGTATCTACATAAACCGGAAGTACACCGCCAATTATACATATATATATACAATTATGTCATTGTTTTTCCGGTTTCTACGGTAATGATTACGTAAAAAAAAAAAAAAAAAACATGTTTTATCTAAATCGTGTATAATTTCTTTTTTTTTTTAAGACCAGACTTTCTTTTGTTAACGTATAAATTCCTCCTTTACGATGATAATTAATAAAAAAAATAATAATAATCTTATAAACAATTATGTAATTTTTGCTAATTATTTTTACGAGAAATATTTTTTAAATATCGTAATTAAAAATTAAAAATGTTAAAAACAAAATACTTATGTATATTTTTGAAGTTGAAAATGTTTAGATGTTTAAAAAAATAAAATAAAATGAAAACTATAAAAACTTTAATTTTTTTCTGGAAGCACACGCTTTTGTCGTGGTCGTAAAAAGTCATAGAGTAAACAAAAAAACAAAAAAAACATTACATTCGAGTTGTTGCTTTTAACGGTTTTTTTTTTAATAAAATGGCGGGATACATTGGTGAAAAGCGTTTAAATTATTTTTCTAAAGCTTTAACTACGGATGGCACATTAAATGTTCTTGTAAATAATACTGAAGAAAATTTTTTAATCCTATAATAAAAGTTTTCTTTTCTTTTATTTTTTTTTTCATTTGATCGAAATAAACGTTTTTTTTTTTTAATGTTATTATTTTAATATGATAACATAACCCAATTTAACCATGTAAACAACAATGTCAGACATTAACTTATTTCTTATTATTTTCTTTATATTGTAGTTAGTTTGTACATTTCAACCTTATTTGGAAGAAATCGGACACAATTTATATGTCACTAGAGAAGTTCAACGAGAAAAAAGAACGTATAGTTTAAAAGTACACACTTGTAAATTTATAACAGATGTATTAGAATACATGCCAGAAGAATTTTATGTTGATTATATTGTTTTTTTATTAAAACCAGAAATGGGAAATTGCTTGACTGAGGTAAAACAAAAAAATTTATTTGCTATGTTGAAAATAGTTACATATCAGTTTGTTTTTTTTTTTTCTTCCCCCAGGTTTCAAATAATTTAATGTGGATAGATTCTAATTTTCCTAAAGAAAAAATTTGTTTAGTTAATCCAAATGCCACTTTTTTAGATTCAACAGTTTCACCAAATGATATTTGGGAATTTGCCATAGAACATCAATTCAATGTTATAAATGGACAAATTAAGGTATAACCTTTCCTTTTCTTATCAAGTTATGTTTAAATAACTAAATACTTTTTATAAAATTATACTGAACTTAATATAAACTTGAATACTATCCTATTATCAATTTTTCATATATTTCATGCAATTATTTATTTGAACTATTATGTTTTTTTTTTTTTTTTTTTTGCAGAAACAAAATGGTTTTTTCAACTTATCGAAAAAAATCCTAAACTTAGCCGAAGCATGCTGTGGGGTTATGGAAGGTGTACCAATGGTTAACATTGTATAAAAATTTTCTATATCGATTATGATAATTATTGCACTTTTTTCTCTTTCATAAACTGAGAAAGGTAAATAAAAAAAATTGTATATATTAATTATTATTATATTTCTAAGAGTATGCTACAATTGTTGATTTGCTATGCATATTTCATTTCATATTAATTTCATTTCAATATAATAAATAAATAAATTTTAATCGACATTTCTAAAATAATAAAAAATACATTTTTTCTCAAAAAAAAATAATAAACAATCTAAAAAATTAAATACTATGATGTGTTTGTATGGTAATACATTATTAAAAATAGTCATCGTTGAACTATAAAGTTATTGAAATTTAATTAGGCTATAGTTTAGTCGTCTAGAAAAAAATTTTTCATAGAATTTAACAATATGTAGTTTTTTTTTTTTTTTTTAATTAAAACTCTTTTGATATGCATCAAGAAGTAGATGATAAAGCACTAATGGTAAAGCACTAAAGATAATAATCCTAAAATGTGAGGCATGTTTTTCAAATCTATATTTATTTATTTAACGAATATTTTATATATTATTATAAACTAAATACTGGGTAATATGTTTTTATTTTCCCTAAAAATTTATTTATTTTTATCTATTTACCTGAACAATGTGATAAAAGTTTAACTAAAACTTTCCTAAAATTTATTAAATTAATACTATTTCGATGATATGGAATTTAACGAAGTTATTTCTTTGGCACAAAAAAATTATTAATATATGGCATTTAGAGTATTTTAACTAGCTTAAAATAATATTTGTGAGTATTAAATGGATTAAAATGATAAAAATGAGTTTATTTTTTGGGGGGATTCATTGAAAGAGCTGCACCAACGCACGCATCGCGACCCCCAATAAATTCAATTGGCAATTGATATTGTATTTGAACTTCTTTTTGCAGAACTTTATTTCTTATGAGTGCCGTTCCAGTTCCTATAATTTTATTTATGTTCGAAGAAACTAATTGATCTTTTGAAATCATGCTGTGGGAAACATTTAAAGAGTTTTTAAATAACTTTTTAAAATATAACTCTTAAAATGATTGTTTTATCCTCTTCAAATTCAATTGTTTTTTTTTTTTTTTTCAAATCATGGCATTCAAGTTGTAGAAAGTAAAATTTTGAAAAAAAAAACGTACCTTAATAAGTTATGTATTATTCCTTTGCACAGAGCTCTAAAAATTTGACCAAGACCCAAATTTCCATGATCCAAATTAGACACTGATGCATTTTGCTCTGGGATATGTCTTTCTCCAAGTAAAGTTGGAACCACGAAAACAGTAGACTCGGCATCATCTCTATCCCCTAAATCTGTTACTTTTTCCCAAACTTTTGCTGTAACATTTTGTATGTAATTTATTCAATCAAAATTAAATTTATTATAAAATTGTGTTATACCTTAGCTAAACCTTAAATTCTCTAAATAATTTTCGTTGAAACTTACATTGCGGGACGCTAAATCCCAGGTCTAGAGTCCATTGCTGCAACATTTTAACAAAAGCAGCTAATACGTTTCCTCCGTTCAGGGAAGCTCCTGCTGCTAAATATCTGTCATTGAAATATGTATAATAGGTAATAGGAGGCGTTAATGGAGTTGGGTCGGGTTGAAATAATGGCTCTTTCAGGTATGCTATTTGCGCGGATGTTGATATATTTAAAACGGCTTCGTTTTCATTTTTTAGGTTCGCTATGACGGAACATTGAAAATCTCCCAAAGCAGCCCCGACAGGTGTACCCATTGGAATTCCAAACCAACATTCTGGAAGTTTTCCAGCTATCTCAGTCGGTTTAACAACTTCTGGTAATAAATGAACTGGAAAGTTTGATTTTTCCAATAGTTCTTTATTCCAAGAATTGGTGGTTGTATTGAAATATCCCCATCCGGCTGCATTTTGAGAAGACATGATGGGTTTTTTCAGATTACACAATAAAGCAACTGCAAAATCTTGAATTGTACCAGAGCAGTTGAATTTTGAAATTTTTTCTGGACAGTTTTGAGAAAGCCAAAAGAGAGTTGCACAACCAAATCCAGTATGAATTTGAATATGTGATTGGGGTTCGGGAAGCTTTTTGAGAAAATTTGAGTCGCATCTTGTGTCTTGCCAAGTGTATAAATTGGATACATTTGAACGAATAACTTCAAATTTAACTCCAGAATTAATTCCTGGGGATTCTGTTCTCTCCCAGCAACAATGTTCCGGTGTATTTGACCAAAGCATTATTCCATGCATTTGGCCACACACTCCTATAATTTTAATTTGTTTCAAGAGTTTATTAGGCAACCTTGAAACACAATTATGTAGAGCTGATATTATTTTGGGTACATCTTGCTTATCACCCTCAGATCCCAAATGGCTGGGAACATTAGCCTGGGTATCTTTTGATTGCTCAGAAAGAATTGTATCTGTTTCAGAATCGTATATGCAAACTTTCACAGACGTAGTTCCTATATCAATACCCAATGAATATTTTTTGGAACTCATTTTTTAATAAAGTTTTATTCCCAGTATTTGAAAATCCGTTTTTAAAATCAAAATTGCTTATAAGTATTTAAAATTGCATTTAATTATAAAGTAAACTGTTTTTTTTTCTTAAATATATGTATATATGTAAATATGTATAAAAATATATATTATAAAATTTTTATTTAAAATGGAAAAGAAATATATGTTCTTAATTTGCGAGTTACCTTATCAAATAATATTTAAACTACAGCAAATTTTTTTAGCGCAATGTATTATTTGCTACAAGAAAGGCGGTGTTTTTCATAGTAATACTCAAAGGCGTCCATTTTGTTGCAAATTATTTAGCGTTGTTAAGTTAATTCTTTTTAATTTCTTTTTCACAATGGTAGATAAAGTAGATATGAGTCTTGCTGACATAATTAAGCAGTCCAAACAGGGAAGAGGCACTAATCGTAGAAGAAGAGGAAATACCAGAGCCTTTGGTGGCGGAAATCGGCGTTCTAGGGGATCTCTTAGAAACACTGTAGGTGGTGGAGCTCTTCGATCCCGCCGGTCTGCTAATTTAAGGTCTCCTTACAGTAGAGGTGTAAGTTTTTATTATATTTGATTTTTTATATATTAAAATATGTGATTTTTAATAATATATAACTATAGTTTTAATTTGTTCTTCTATGTTAATGTTATATATCATATTTGTCATGTGTACCCTAATTTATTTATTTTCAATTTTTAAAAAAATTACCGTTAATAATTAAGATTTGAATTATTTATTAATTGCAGACGGGAGACATAGAAAGCAGGTGGCAACATGACATGTTTGACGGTTTTGCTCCGGTGAGGTCACCAAGAGGAGTTCAAGGCGCGATGGGCCCAGCCAAATTATTAATTTCAAATTTGGAATTTGGTGTTTCCGATTCAGATGTTACAGTAAGCGGCTCTGTTAAATTAGTATATTGCTAAATTTAAATATTTCAGAACTTGTGAAAATAATGGAGGTTTTCCAAGTCTTCTCCACTCCTAATTTTTAATCAACAACCAAGGAAACATTTTTTCTAGGAGTTATTTGCAGAATTCGGACCATTGAAATCAGCGGCTGTTCACTATGATCGATCAGGTAGATCATTGGGAACAGCTGATGTCATATTTCTTAGGCGAGAAGATGCCATCAAAGCCATGATGCAATATAATAGTGTACCTTTAGATGGAAGGCCTATGAATATTCAATTAATAACATCAGAAGTTCCATCATTTGGAGGAAACAAACAAGGAGTTCGTCAAGGAAGAGTTCAGAAAGCTGGTGGAAGGCAAGGTTTTCAAAGGGGAAGAGGTAAATGCCACATAATTCAATCCAAAAATAAATTTTTTTTGCATCTTATTTTATCAATTATTAATAATTGAAATGTGTTGTTTATTTATTTTACTTCAAATAGGTAATCGTAGAAGTGGTGACGGAAGAGGAAATGCAAAAAATCAAGATCGTCAATTAACGGCAGAAGAATTAGATGCAGAGTTAGATGCTTATGCCAAAAAACAAAATAAAATTGTGAGTGTAGTGTTGTAAAACAGAGACTTTTTAAATCATTCATCATGGGGTGTTATTCGTGACAGATTACTTATTATCAATAGTAGACAATAATTTTTTTTGACTCTTGCAGTAAACAAAATAAAAAATAAAAAAGAAGGAAAAAAAATCAATTTTTTTTAATTTAGGTTATTTTAGTCTATAAGAATCCTTGATTAGAGTGCGTTTACTCTCTCGCTAAATTTTAATAAAAAATATTTTTGTATTTAATAATAATAATATTAATAATAATTAATTAATTAATTAATTAATTAATGTTACCTCATGAAAATGTTTTTTATAATTTTCAGTGAATGACATAAAATCAATACATAAAGCAACATATGTCTTATGTTTTACATAAAAATAATTTATAAGCATTTAATTAAAAAGATTTATTATTAAAAAAAAAAAAACAATTTCTTTTATTAAAGTTATGATGTATACTTAACTTAACTGAACAAAAAAAATAAGAATTTCATTGTTGTGACTTATTTGGGGGGGGGGAAGGGGGGTGTGTGTGAGAGTGTGTGTGTATTTTAAACACATTATAAAACTCGATAGAAATTATTAAATTTTTTTTATTCGATTTATTATGAAATATTTATAAATAGACATAAGGGATGAATAATAAACATCCCTTTCAAATATTAATTATAATTTTTTTTTTGTGGTAAAATATCGAGTGAAATTTATTTACTGTAAGAAAAAAAGAAAAGAAAAAAAAATGTTTTTTTTTTTTTTCGATTTTCTAAATGAGGTGTTAATGTAACATATCTGGAAAAAATGTGTATAAAATTTTTTTCCAAATTTGATTTTATCAGATTACTACATTTATGAATAATTTAATGTACGTTTTATATATTAAAAAAAAAAAAAAATTTATTTACTAACAACGATTTGTAAAATTCAATGGACTTTATGCAAGTCCATTATTGATGGGCTCAAAAGAAAAAAAATTACTACTACTAAAAATTGTAAAAATAATAATAATAATATTAATAATTATAGTACAATAAATGTTGTAGTAAATGTTTAAGTAAATAATTTTTTTTTTTTTATTAATTATAAATTTGAATTCATTTTATTCTCCTATAATTTTTTTTTTTATTATACATTCTTAATTTATAATAAAAAAAATATTTCTTTTAATTTCTTTGTCTGCCCTCGAATTAACAAAAAAAAAAAATTATATTCGTTCACTTTAAATAATAATAATAATAATAATAAATAAATTAATTGAATTTTTTTTTTTTTTTTTTTTTAATAAATGAATACAAATATGAGAAAATAATAATAATAATAATAATTTTATGTCATCAATAAAGAATTAATAATATTTATTGTCAAATAATGAATATTATTAAATATTATAACGATTGAAATTTTTTTTTGTACTTGTTATGATTTTTTTTATTTTAATGACCATTTTTAAAAGAAAAATGTTTAATTTAATAAAATTAATTTTGAATTTATAATAAAAAGGTTTTTATCACTTTTATAATACATACAAGTTTTTTTTATATTATTATTATTATTATTAATTTTTTAATTATTTGTATTCCATTAAAAATTTTGTCGAAGAGAAAAAAATAAAAAATTTAAGTACACACACACACACACACTATAAGATGATGATAATGACAATGTGTAACTTATGTTGTTAATTATTCTAATTAAAATCAAACAACCTCAATAATAACTTAAATGCAATCAATTATTATTATTATTATATTAATTTACAGTAAATTACAATTTTATTTAAAAAAAAAAGTTATCACATCTGTTGAAATTACAAATAAATAGTTCACATCCACTATTGTACATAATTATATATATATATATATATATTTATTTGAAAGTAAAAGATATAACAGTTAAAATTTTGAATTATAACATTCGAAAACCCATTTTTTTAAATAATAATAATAATAATAATAATTCAATTAGAAATTTGAAAATGTTGTGAAAAATTCAAAAGGGGAGAATATAAAATCATTTATTTATTGAAAAATTAAAAACTATAATACAAAAGCAGTGATGGGTGAGTGGATGAGAGAGAGAGAGAGAGAGATGGGGAGTGATTGACAATTAAAAAAAGAATTTATGTCGATATAACTTTTAAAAAAAATTGTTTTTTTTTTTTTTTAATACTTCTTACTAAATTAAAAATTAATTTTTGAAATTGTTAGAGCTGAATTAGCTTTTGTAAAATTTATTAATTAAACTCTATAATCTATATTTTTAAAAATTGTTCTTCCATTTCCATAAAAAAATTCTATGTATGATAAATTATATTATAGAAAAATATCCTCGGTAAAAAAAAAAAAAAAAAGTTTATTATTATTATTATTCGCAACATTTTTTGCAATATAAATTTTTTTTTTTTATTAATAAGTGATGAAATTATATTAATGTCAGCTCTAACACTTGAAAACATTTTTAATTTCAATATACAATAATTTAAAAAAATGAATAATTCATTACGCCCTTTACACAAATTAAAAAAAAAAAAAAAAACTTGAAAAGCATCATCAAATCGATCGAAAAAAAAAAAAAAATTTGTTTTAAATTTTGTTATTTCAAGCTGAAATTGTTTGTGAATTTAAAAAAGAAAAAAAAAAAAAAAATTAAAATTAATCCACATTCACAGTCTTTTTAATGTCCTCTTTTTATCTTTTAAAAGTTTTTTCTTATCTATTACTTGTTTTTTGTCTCCTGCATGTTTTTTCGCTGATGGGCCTTCGCTTGTAGAACAAGATGTCGCTTCAACACCTGCTTTAATGAGTTTTGGTGCCTGAAAAAAAAAAAAAAAAAAAACACAATCATGTATTTATTTATTTTATACAAAAGTAAATAAAACTTTTGAATTTGTATTATTTTATTATAATAATTTACCAATGCATGAATTTCAGTCATCATTTTCGCTCTCTGTGCATAGTCATTGTAATGTTCGAGTAATAGTTTTCCCGCTTCTTCATTTAATGCAGATTCTGGATTAGGAAATATAAGTAAACATTTAACAGTTAATAATATATGTTTAATTCCTAAATCTGGTTTCCAATCTTTTTTAAGAGTATTGACGCATATTTCTCCATTTTTTGCAACATTCGGATGAAATATTTTTGTGAAAAAAAATGCTTTCGGAGGGGTTTGTGGAAAATCTTTTCCTAATGCTAACTTAACTTTAAAAACTCCTCCAGCATAGGGTGTGCCAGCTGCAAATTGATTTTCATAAAAAAAAAAAAAAAAAAAAAACTTTTTTAATTCAAAAAAAAAAAATTTAATTTCATCAATCGAAAAACAAATTTATACTTACCAGGACCTTCTATGTATGCTTGAATATCAGTCACATCTTCTTCATTTATTGTTACTTTTATTCCCTCAGGAGGCTGATTAACCAAATCGTTTAGTTCTTTTGCAACCCTTCTAATAATTTGTGGTGATAGGTTTTCTACATTCTAAAATTTTAAACATATAATAATTTATGTGCGAATGATGAAAAAGGAAACTTGATTATAAATAAAATGATAAAAATATTAATAATTAAAATTATTTTTTACATTAATCAAAGGCTAATTGTTTATATAAACTTAATAACAATTAATAGGCTTATAATTATTATTAGTACTACATTGTAATTGAAATACAAGGACTAAAGTGTCTACAAGTACTAATTAAAAATAAATTAAAATGAGAAATTTTTTTTTTTTTAAAACAAAAAAATCATAATAATAATAATTAATTAAATATTAAGAAAAATGGTAAAAAAAAAAAAGTTAAAAAAAAATTACTGCAAATTTTGATATGCAAGTGTTGACATAATTTGCTAACTGTGGCTTGGTCAACGTCCATGTCAACAAACGTTTTCATAAAACGAATTTATAGAACAATGCTTTTAAATAACGGTTATTCTTAATGAAAAAAAATTTTTGAAAAATTTTACTCACCGAACTCATAGTTGACATTTTACATTAAAAATTAAAATAAAATTATTATAATTTTTATAATGATAAATATTAAAACATAAAATTAAAATTCACAATATCAACATCGAAGAATAATATATAATTTGTGGCAACCAATCAAAATTTCAATAATATCTAAAAATCATAAGAGGAAAAGGATTTTGCTATCGTTCAGACCAAAATGCTTTACGATAAAGTTTTATTATTATTATTATTTTTTTTTTTCGTTTAGACAATATACGAATTTTATTATTTCAATAAATAATTTAAAATATGTCACATTTATGTGTTATATTTTTACCGTTGTAAAAAGGTAAATTAAAATATTATATTTATTTTTGACTTTTTTTTTTTTTATTAAATTGCTTCTAATTCATTGCTCTTATAATTATTTCTTGTAATCACTTGTAATCACTTTATGAATTTATTGTTTTTTTTTATCGAGAACCTGAAATTTTTCAAAATATATTATATACATATATAAAATTTTTTTGTAAATATATAATTGTTTTATTTGTATTTTAAAACTCAATAAAAAGAAGAAGCAAAAAAAAAAAAAAAAAAAAAAATTAGGCAAGTAATCGTTTAAAAAATTCAATTTATTTCAATTCGGTTAAATTTCTATAAAAACAAAATTTCTATCGAAAATAAATCTTTTTTTTTTTTGTATTCTGTTAATTTTTAAATTAAAAAATAAAATTTTTGATAATCATATTATTTATAATGTTTAATTAAAAATAATTGAAAAATTTTATAAAATTAATTGTCATAAAATATTTTTGTTCAATTGTAATTTTTAATGTTGAAACTTTTTTTTTTTTTTTTTTTCATAGATTTTAAAGTATTTTTATTTTTTTATGAAATTTTATTTTTAAATTAAAATTTGTGACTTGATTAACTGGTTTACTTTAATGTTATATTGTTTGTTAAAATTTTTTAAAGTCATTACATGACCTGAAATTTAATTAATTTATATATTTTATTTATTGAAAAGAATATACATATGTGCATATTGTCTCTTTCAAATAATGATAATATTTTAATTATAAGTTAACTCTATCTAAATTTAATGTATTATTTAATGTATTGTTGTTTGTTGATAAATTTTTCAGTTAAAAAAAAGAAAAAAAAAAAATGGTTCATTTAAAAAGTGGTACAAAACAAAATGTTCGAATTTTACTTTTGGGAGAGAGAGGTGTTGGAAAAACTTCTCTCATTTTATCTTTAGTCAGTGAAGAGTTCCCTGAGGATGTTCCTCCAAAAGCAGAAGAAATAACTATACCAGCAGATGTAACCCCAGAACAAGTTCCCACCGATATTGTAGATTATTCACGTATGTAAAAACTTTTTTATTCAAAATTTTGATTGAATTATAGAATTATGTGTTAATAAAAAATTTCTCTGCAGATGTTGAACAAACTGATGAACAGTTAATTGAAGAAATACAGAGAGCACATGTAATTTGCTTGGTTTATTCAATTGAAAATTATGACACAC